TATATATACAATTGTTGGGCATAAAAAGACGAATGCAGTCATGTTATTAGAATTGACTCCAGGGTCTGCCCCACCCTTGCAGACTTAACCCCTGGGTCATAACTTTGAAATGGTTGAGATCCCCACCCCAAAACTATATATACAAATGCTGGGCAAAAAGAGACAAATGCAGTCACGATATTAGAATTGATCCTGTGGTCTGGCCACAACCCTAGGGACCTAGTTTCCGAGTCAAAGCTTGGAAACAGTCGAGATCCCCACCCCATAACCATACTTAAAATTGCTGGGCATGAAGAATCTAATACAGATATGCTACAAGGATTTGCCTTGGGGTCTGGCATATTCCCTTGATCTCATTCGGAGAATATTTTGCCACGATTGCTTTGGTATCCAGGTGAGCGATACAGGCCCTCTGGGCCTCTTGTTTTTCTCTTAGCTACCATAGAGTGCACTCTAGAACAAAATTTATATTTCTCCTCAAGATTTATTACAGGTGCCTTCACATTATCCTTTGATATTAATTTTGTTCAAGCATGCGCTATATAGTTTCTAGGAGAAAAACTATGCAAAATATCACAATATTCACTGAATATTCAATTTTTTCTAATTTATGCAAATTTGAACTTGTTACCATGGCAACAAGTATTAGAAATATAAATAAATGTTTTCATAATAGTATTTGGGAAGTGTTCGAAATTAAAGAAACAGTCATTTCAAAGTTCATTTAAAGGTTTTGAATTTTGATGCATTTGGGGGCCAAAACAGGCCCAAACCATACATAGTCCTTTCATTTGCATATATACGCTACATCATAGGGAAAGCTAATGGGGTTGGGGTCTGTCTCATTAACAAAAACAACCAATACTAGTTTCATTAAAAAAAAACATTTTAATAAAATTAGATATCTTTTATCACAATGTAACTTGTATGTGATAATGTACACATAAATATAATGGTATTTAGATATAGAATTAAAGACATTTCTGTACAAATTTCACATATAACTACTTGTACGTCATAACTTTATAATAGAACCCAAACACTTAATGGTCAACAACATCATTGGTCTTATTCTTTACAACCATTATGTAATACAGTGAGGTATACCTTTACAATACATTAATGAGTCAACATATTCTCATAAATATATACTAAAGAAACAACGAATGAGGTAAAGACTTCAGTCTGTGAGATCAGGACATAACTGATTGCACAAATACTTATACAGGTGAAATGATTGATGTTTTTATCTTACACATTGTAAATGTTCTCTGAAAAAATATATTTTAATTAGTATCATCAAATAATTTGGCATTACCCATGCATCACCACTTCTTCTTTTATAACTTTTAAATTAGTCATCAGTTCATTGAAGTCTATATTGCCATTCATATAAACAAAATTACACAAGTTCCTTTGACATGGAACTGTCTCACAGTAAGGTAAACAATATACCCTGAAAACGTTTCTTTACCATACAAAACAGATGTTAAAGAAATATAATAGAAACACAATTATCACATATTTTATAATTTCACAAAAATGGAATGTACATTGTATAGTTTTCTCCCACCCCCTCGTGGTAAAGAAATTTTGAACTCAAGCTTTTAAGCATTGGAGCTTTAATAAAACTTGGGACGTTTCAGAATTTTGACAATATGGATATTAATTAAAATTATTATTAAATCAAATGATTTTCAGCAATTTCAAGTTCTACACAAGACACTCTTATATCACTTATTACATAAAACAAAATATTACATATTAATGAGAGATAAATTAATTAGTGAATTAGGTGGAGATCAGTGATCAAGTTCTATAAATCATTTACTTTTTGTTAATACTTGACTTCATCACCAGAACATATCTCAATAAAACACAAGGAGAATTCACAGTTGAATATCCCAGCAAATTAAGGTTTAAGTGTCTACATCACCAGAAATGTAGGTATAATTTACAGTGGCAATCCTATGTGTGAAACTTTCCTCCTGTCACCGTAGTCTTTTAATAGAACTAGATACAATACTAGTACATATAAATACTTCATGTACTAAAATAAGTCATTTCCGAGATAATTTTTCGAGATTCAACTTGTAGTTCGATACGTGTGCTGAAACACAGGTGAGCAGACTCTGGCTGCATGTCTGATGATGGGGTACTAGATATTTCACCAAATGTTCTGTCTCAATTTCCTAATCTTCTACTCCAACAAAGATTACTTGCTACTGATTGCCTTCACACCAGAAGTATACATGCCCCCCTAATGTACAACATGACCGTCTAATGACTATTGTTACAGAAACTATTATTTCAGATATGACAATTTTTGTATGTCTCCCCTAAACATAAAAGCTGCATCTTCAATGTAAAAATGTTCATTCTTACATTGCATAGACCCTTTGTCATTATCAATACTTTTTTAAATGAAAATGTAAAAATCGTTTTTAAAAGAACCAAAATTCATGTTCAGGAATTTAGTACACGAGTCAGACTGCCAAAGGCATCATTAAAACTACACCAGTGAAAGGCCAATAGGTTATTTTATCACAGTTAATCATCAAACAAGTCATTTATCTTTCACAGGAATTTCATAATAAATTTATGTAAAAAATAATCATTAAAAAAATTAACATGAAACGGGCACATATCAACTTAACAAGATCAAAATATATCACATTACTTTTGCCTGCAGACAAAATGTATCAGTATACCTGTACTGATTTATTCCTCTTTAGGCCTGCTTTGTTCCACTCCTCGCCATTTGACCGTAATTACCAGCACTGCCAGAGCAGCCATGCCAGCCCCAACCAAGGGGGGACCACTGGGACTGACCTCCAGTAAAATCCCTGATAGAAGAGGAGCTAACATCCTTGCAATAGACATGATACTCTGACTGAGCCCAATCAGGGCCCCAATTTCTTGCGTACCTCCCCTTGATATCAATAAACTTATACCAACCACTCTTAGGTTCATCGAGGCGAAGCTCAGAGGGACGAGGAGCAACACATAGCACCAAAATGTGGAAGTGAAGACAAAAAGAATCATGGTTAGTGTCATGATTACGGCAAGGTGTTTGTACAGACGATTATCATTTCTATAATATCTAGATAACTTTCCAGCTAGTAAACCACACAAGGCTGATACAATAGCACTGTAAGATATAATGTAACCTAAACCCTTTGGAGACGTATCAAACTTCTCTCGCAGCATCAACGAAAAATTACTCCTAAATAAGAGTAAGGATAGTCCTAAACAGAACCTCACCAAAAACAAATCCCAAAATGCTGACCAGCTCAGAGATTTTAACTGAAAAAGTTGTTTAGGATTAAAGTTGAATTCGTCAGACCCAAGTTTTTGGAGGGAAGTAGATGACTCATCACGAGCAAGGTCATGTGACTTGGACTTGACATCAGGAAAACAGCACCACACCAACACTGAAAAGGAAAGATGAGAATTCTTATACACTTGTGCAAAACATCTCAAAGTTGAGGAAAATCCTAACCAATGTCAATGGAAAACTCGCAGAAGAGGAAAATATAAGACTTGAGATGCTTGATACAAGTGGAACCTGGAAACCTACTGACATGACCTTGATAATATCACATTTTAATATACAAATATGCATTTCTCATTTAGATTAATGACACATTTATATAGAAATGTGCATTTTAACTTATACGCTGTTAGAGCTAAAAATGAACAGAATATGAGTACAGTGTGCCAGTGTACCAGGTGTGTCAGGTACAGTGTACCAGTGTACCAGGTGTGTCAGGTACAGTGTACCAGGTGTGTCGGGTACAGTGTACCAGGTGTGTCGGGTACAGTGTACCAGGTGTGTCGGGTACAGTGTACCAGTGTACCAGGTGTGTCAGGTACAGTGTACCAGGTTTTATATTATACACGTGTCCATTGATTCCAAAGTGCATATAACACCAGAATATAAAGGGAAAAGGAAAACTACTGTGTGAATAGATGACCTAAATTGTGCTTTTTTTTCATGTATCTCAAAGGGAAGCTTAGAAGTAAGGGTGTTGATAACACATGATAATTCAATAATTTTATGTTCACAAGGCAGTTCCTTGTCAGGGACACGATTACCACTTTGCATGTTATAACGAGTGGAGTGTATAAAAAGTAAACATGTTTTATTGTAGTAACGTGGACCAGAACTAACACCATGCTTTCTCTGTGCATACCTCCATTCAACAGGAAGATGGCCCCACACAAGAATGTAACACTGTAGAATCCTCCAGCCATCTCCACGATGTGACCGCTGACCACTGGTCCAAGAATGAACCCTATGCTGGACACAGAGTTAAAGTGGCCATGCACAGCGGACTGCCTATCTGTAGGTAACATATCTGCTAGTAGGGACTTGGCAATGCTTTGGCTGTGTTTAAAGATACCTGGTGTCAACAGACACAAAAAATAGAAAATGTCAGGTACATATGAAATCTTTACTAACTATATACCATGCATGATCATCTGACATACATCTTATTTGCATTTATGTAAATTTGATTTATAATGCAATTGAATGAAGACTTAATTTGATTCATATATCATTATAAAAATTAAAACAGATCTAGACCGGAGTTCACATATGACTGCAATATTAATAGAGCAAATTAAATTATGTTTTTTTCTTACTGAAGATAAATTCACAAATTTAACATAAAAGGTGCAGTGAAGTGTCCCTACATCACAGGTAATGTTATGGCATATCAATATTGTGATCAACTGGGTATATTTTTATAGCACTATCTCACTGAACCTAAACTTTAAAGTTCATCCCAACGATGTGCTATGTACAAAATTAGGCATGTAAAATATCTCAGTTAATTTCTTTTTAAACAGAAGTGTTGAATTTAATATTTCGTCAAAAAATGATGAATTCAACAGTATAAATCGATGTTGGTTGATGAATGTAATACCTAATGGAATACGAGCGAGGAACAGTGCAATCAATGAGGTGGAAAATCCTAATGACATGTAGCCACACGCAGAGAAGAACAGGGACCACAGAAGACAGTACTTCCTCCCTGACACGTCACTCCAGCGACCCTGTCAAACAACAGGTAGATCAACAGGCAGTTAGCATGCAAATGATGTACATCATAAGTAGGCATTTAATGAATTAATACTTTACACAGACATTAAGTGGAAATTAAGAAAAAAGATGTAATTGAAATAAGAACTGGTAATATACTAACAAAACAAATGGAGGTTGCTATACAGCTACCCAATAGCCATTGTAATAATAGTATATACAGGATGTAGACAGTGAGGCTTGCGTACTATGGTCTCCTAACACATTTAAATCAAAATGTTCATGCCCTTCACTACACTCGTATCGTCCCTTTATCCTTCCTCTCCCCCCCCCCCCCCCCCCTACCTTTAAATATCTTTCCTCTTCTACCTACCCAACTATTCAGTACTCACCTACGCATGCATCCTCTCCCCTATCACATCCGTTCTGCTTTCTTTCACTCGTCCTGGCTTCCTATACTTCTCTTTCTCTCCCCTCCTGTTCTTCTACCTTGTTTTCATTACCGGGGTAATCTCTTCCTTTGCCCTATCATTCTCTCCCCTCTCTTCTCCTACTATATCTCCTCTTCCCTTTCCTTTCTCTCATTCTCTCCCTACTCTTCCTTTGCCCTACTATTCTCTCCCCTCTCTTTTCCTACTATGTTTCCTCTTCCCTTTCCTTTCTCTCCCTACTCTTCATTTGCCCTACCATTTCTCACTTCTCTTTGTTCACCCCCCTCCAACTTTCCGTTCTCCACTTCCTTGCTATTTCCTTTCTTCCATTTTGCATTCACACAAAAACAAAACACAATTTCCTGGTAATAAGAAAATCTACTTACGACTACTGGGCTAGAAAAAAGCTGTAAGCATCCATACACAGAACCTGTCAAAAACAAAAAAACAAACATCTGAGCATGAATATTTTAGAATGTAGTTTGACGTGAATGGGCTGTATCCTGTAACTTAAAATTAACTTACGACCTTCACCTTTGACCCAAATAGTAATGAAGATGTTGCAAATGGGCATATTGGTTATGAAAACTAGCCATATACAGAAACTGTCAGAGTTGAGCTGGTGGTATAAGTATGGAGTACTGTGGATAAATCGATGGAACAAGCATGGGAACTGATCTTATAACAAACACAACCTTTTGATTCCACAATTTCTAAGTTGTCTTTTTAACTTATGTGCAGTACCTTGACATTTGGACATCAAATTGAAAGGGTCATCATCTAAAGTTTCAAAATTCAAAGTGGAAAAATTTCTTTCACGTAATGGATTACAACAACCCTAATCTTGAGGCATGGTAGTCTAGTGGTAGGACGTCGGGCTCGTGACCGAAGGGTGGCAGATTCGAGTCACGTCACGGCACTGTGTTGTATCTTTGTGCAAGATACTTTACTCCGCTTAATCCAGTCTACTCAACTGCATATGAGTACGTGGTTGGGCAGTGCTAGAATTGTTGAACGCTAGCTGTGAGCGCCGAAATGGCAGCACCGGCTGTATGCTACCAAGGGAGTTGAGAAAGATATTGGCTGGTTGCAAAGGCCCTATAACCATGGATAATAATTTGTGAACGGCTTTGAGACAACCTACGAACTAGGTTGTGATAAAGCAGTATATAAGAACCTCAAATTATTATTATTATTATCTTCCAACATCTGACCCCAAAATCACTAAAACTTTGTTTTCCTTCCATAGGTACTATAGTCATCAAAAGAAGTTTCAAGGTTTAAGATGAATACTTTACTAAAAGACTGGTCATCCTTTTTGCATAAAAGATTTGACCTTTTCCTCTGAAGAAATAATTAAAATTGTGTTTAACAACACAACAATACTTATACCAGTATACTCACCAATAAAACCTGCTACAGTTGGGGAAGCTCCCAAATCTCGGGCATGATTACTGATCAGGGGGATCACCATACTCACTCCAAAAAAGTCCTATAAATGGCAGAGATGTGTGATATTAAATAAATTATGTGTAACTTGTGATATGATCCTAACTTATTGTACTGATTTTACAGAACTCTATTTATCATCCCCTGTTCCACTGCCCTGGGTTTTTTTTATGTGTACAGTTACGTCCCCTTGATTTCATTTTGGATATTGTCAACTGTAGTACAGTTGGGCAAGGACAATGTTCTATTGACCAGGAAGCTCAGTCAGTTTAAAGAGAAACAAGAGCCTATAGATAGTTTAACAGCTACCTGAAGTCTGTTTTGAATCCCAGTCTTAAGTTCCACTGATTTTTTTTGATTTTTTTTAATTTTTTTTTCAATAATAACACTGATGTTGATTCTTGTTTGGTTTATTTCATCACTGTTACTTTTATAAAAGTCCCACAAGATAAGGTTTTCTTTTCTGAATTATTTATCAAAGATTACATACTTGTGGACATAATGCTTGGTCAAGGAGACCCAACGTCCCTGCAAGGAATTCAGTTCCATAGTGTCGGTAGGGATCCTAGTGTGGATACCTAACAACAGGGGGGTGGAGACAAAACGTCCCTGCAAGGAAGTCAATTCCATAGTGTTGGTAGGGATCCTGGGGTGGATACCTAACAACAGGGGGTTGGAGACCCAACGTCCCTGCAAGGAAGTCAGTTCCATAGTGGTGGTAGGTATCCTAGGGTGGATACCTTAATGGTATTCAACAGTGCTCATCAGGGAAAGCAGAGCAAATGAAAATAGAAATGATGAGCAACAACACCACTGAATCCGGTACAAAATGTAATGTTTGATTTACATCCTACGTGCTGACATGTTTCAGTTCTGAGGCTGGCAGCAATATGTTGTGTGGCGTCATTTAGTACAACATTACCCATAAAAGAAGTTTCAGCAGATGTACCCTCGCAGACTAATGATTATAAACCTTGAGAATGTATTCAACACTTTGTAGTATGGACGTCACACAACATATTGTTGCCAGCCTCAGAACACAACTTGCTCGTACTATACTGTTCCAACCCTCTATACAACTTGATATTCTTATCACTGATGTCACAGAATTTACCCTACAGAACTCTCCGATACGAGGACTTTCCTTCTTTGGGGGTTATCCTAATCTAACTTTTACTAACTGCTCACACGTTTATTGACTTATACCCTATTTACAACAGTTCTGACAATTTAATCATGCTTAATGTTATTTTTATTACAATTTCCATTCCTTAACCCTTAGACTGACACAGGGCGGATTTTAGCCGATCTGTTTTTTATGTTGACTGCCGCAGGGCCGATCTGGGCCAATCGACTTTTAACAAATTTTGACGTCACTCGGCATTGTCCAGGACGTCATCAATTCATGTGACATGAGATGATATGGAAACTATTTGTTCTGTGAGGCGATTTATGTTCAAATTTCAATCATTGTAAAAAATATCGTATACCAATGGAAAGCTGAGAACCTGATCTTGAAGCTCATAATTAAAAAAGATGACATGCTTTCCCCGTTTTTTGAAATACCTGTCCATAGAAAAAAGGAGAAAGAACAAGATCATGACATCAAAGTATATACTGCGTGTACCGTTTATTGCACTTCACACAGTTGAATATTCTAATTTGATCTCCACTTTACTTCCTGTTTCGGTGTCAAGTGATAGAGTATGGACATTTTTATTTTTTTTTAAATCTCTTGGACTTTCTGAGAAAATTCAGAGCAACGGTGTCAGCATATAAGAAACCATTTTCAGACTTTCGTGCTGTAAGCGATGTATTTGAACTTTCAATTCCTCAGAGATATAACGTTGGATACGGCCAGTGGACACATGGCACGGACAAGGTGTCTAATCCCTTATACTCATTATCTGGTGTCATTTTTTTAACTTACTAAACTTCTGTCTTATATACAGTAGCTTTCCGTGAAATAATAGCAAACACAAACGTTTCACAGTGATGTAAGCCTATTTTCCGTAATAGACTTTCATACACACAGTAACCCCCATGGTACCTTAGATTCTTTTTTTATTTTATCTGTATCTGTATACTGTTGTTCAGCTAAATTGGCTAGATCAATAGTATAAGGGTCTGAGGTCCGTTTGGACCCTGTTTCATTTTTTTCCCTTTTCATTTCATCTCTTTTTTCCCCCATAAAAGTTCCATAAGGTATGTCTCTTTCACTTCGCAGAAATGATTGATCAAGTCTAAAGTCAGACTGAAAAAAGTTTCCAGTGCATAATTAGTAACGTAAAAAGGGGCGCATTCGGATTCAAATAAATATAGAATTGAATCAAGAGATGTGTTAGTTGCCGACCTTTGCACCAATTTGTACGTCATGACACGTACGTAAATTGCGCTAGTGTACGCCGAGTTCTGTTAACATTCTTCCAATTTCAAAGGAGCTGTGGTTTTCTAAGTCGCTGCAAACAGTTACTAATTAACAACCTATTTTGACGAAGATATACGTGCCTCGGCGAGCAAGAACCAGTGAGAATAGGTTATTGTATTATGAACTTGAAGACGTCAATAAAAACACTGTGAAATAGTTAATATAATGTCGACTGAAATATTCGGTACTTTGTTTTGTTTGTCTTAGTTATGTTAACTTAATCAAACCATTGATAACTTACAAGAAGACTGTTTCACCTGTTGGTTGTCTCACAAATTCCTCATAAGATTAAGTAAATATTATTGATTAAAAATGGTTCAGCATCATGTTGGGACATTTGGACGCTACACGGGTACCACTAGACAACTTTCAGTTTGGTGGATAACGTTGTCCAAGGTTTTGCTAGCTATGATTTGCTATGAATGGCGTTACACATATGTTTTTATTTACGTCATATCAGTATCTATTACGTAAACAAAATTTGGCACCCTAACCACCACCCCATCCCAACAAATTAATTAGGCTTTATATTAGAATTATTAGCGATACTGACAGTATCTGTCTGTGATTAGAAGACGAATACATGTACGAAATAGAGAAATGACTCACCGGTTTTATGTGCACGTTCAACTGAACAATATCGTAATTCTTTTGAAAATATGTCTTCGAACTCAAAGACTTCGGCCCTCAATTTTGTACTGAGCGTGTAACCCTTGGATTTCGAAATTGCAGGAAATAGAGAGCATCATATATGATTGTGTACGACAGATTGTACACACATTCTAATTCATTGTCATACAATAAAGGTACAACATTCCACATCTGCAAGTTTCTACAATATACCTTAACATCGGCCGGTATAGCAACATGCGCACTAACTGCTGGATTACATGTAATTATACAAAGTATTAGATAGTTATTCAAGCTTTCCATAGAGGAAAAACATGTGGTTCTTAGGTGATCGTAATAGTTTTATATGACTGTTTGAATATGAAGTAATTCAATGTATTTTTCCATGATGTTTCCGGAGTAAACGAAATTGGGTCTACGCATAAATTGTTGACGTCATAGTACTACGACGACATAATAAGACATTTCAAAACCACACTGAAATCTTGGCCTGACAGAAAGTCAGGGTTTCCACTGTGGCAGCGAAAGGGTTAAGCGACAGAACAATAACCTTTGAGTTTTGCTTGTTTGAGCACTTTTGATACATTTAATTTCATGTTTACTATCCCTTATTTCTGTTCCTTTAATCTACAGTTCATACATTCACATTTACTATGATACTTTTATATAATCTTTTAGTGCATCATACTTAAATTATTTAGCACTTATTCTATTATGCACCATTCAAAAATGGCTTAAACTTTTCAACCCTTTCAGGCTGTAACTCTTAGCAACTTGATGACGTCACAATTATTCTTTATTGTTCTAGTCACATGAACTTTATTGTCATTGTACCATAGTTGCAAAACTCATGTAACTGCGCTCTGAAGACCGCCTCCCTTTGGCTGTAACATGTCAGCACACAGGATGTAAATCAAACATTACATTTTGTACCGGATTCAGTGGTGTTGTTGCTCATCATTTCTAGTTTCCTTAGATTAGGTAAGTGGAGTTGGGGACAAATAACATCCATGATGGTCAAATGAAGCTTTCACTGATTATTTTAACATTTCCCGTAAAGCGAAAAATTTCACAGGGCCCTTTCAATGTTTTCAATTTGTAAATAACAGGAGAGTCATCCCGTTCTGGAAGAACCCTTTGAATAATCTTGAAATAAATCTAATAAATGATTAAGGCATAAGTTAAAACAGTTTGTGGAAATATAAACTGGTGAATTGTTCCAGTTCCATAACAAAATACGTGTTAGAAATAGATTACAAAGTTCAGTCCTAATTTTAAACAAGAGTACCGCGGGACGGAACAAAATACGCCCGTCGAATGCCATATAGTGTTATATACTTTCTTACATTGAAATAAGATCTGCATCATTCCAAGAGTGGTTAACTGATATGCTATAAAAAATGTAGGAGAAAATCTTCGGACAAAAAATCAAAAACTGACATGAACAAAAGGCAATAAATTTTCATATCATGATTATAATGTATACCAAGTTTCAAAGCGATCGGTCGAAAAAAATGTAGGGGATCTCCGGTCAAAGTTCAAATACTGAAAGGAACAAAGGGCAATAACTTTTGGAAAAATTGTTGAATCAAAATTCTTTCAAGGGAGACACAACTTCATCTCATGATTATAATGTATACCAAGTTTCAAAGAGATCGGTTGAAAAAGACGGACGGACGGACTGACAACGCCATACCATAATACTACCGTCAGATTTGACGGTCGTATAAAAAGGGGAATGGATGAGAGATGATATTTTTTTTTATTTTTTTATTCAACTTTTATTCATAATCACATTTTACTACAGTTACATGCACATTACAATTGTTTCATATAACTATTTTCGTTCTGTAACTATATATCAATCAGAATCGGTATATATATATATATGAGTCTGCCTGTTTACTCATGCATGTACAAAGTTTATATTAATTTAGACAGGGATGTGTAGTGAAGGGATTTCCACTACACATCCCTGATTTAGATTATATTTCCATCGGATATTTCACGTTTTTTAAAGACAAGTACAGAGTACCATGACGTCTGTAAGTAAGACAGATCATTTCTATTTTGAATACATTTAGACGTGAAGTTATGTGACAGGAATATATGGCTCTAAAGACTTTACCCAAAATTTATTAACAAATTCAGCTCAGTTAAGTAAGTAAATGATTGATAAAAATCCATTTGCATTTTATTTTTTCTTGCTTTTTGTTGTGATAGGCATACAGACCCATATCTTCTATTTTATTATAAAACTTAAGGTATGTTTTCCCTTCCAGAATGGTAGGAGCTGTGTTTTTAACTTACATTAATATATATAGTATCTCATAATGAGCAATACAAAATTGATCTCGTCTCTGTGTTCTTTTTCTATTACACCAAAAATAAAGGTTGTTGGGTGTCTGGGCAAGGTAATTTGGTACTTATTTTCTAGTGTATTTATCAGCCTAAACCAAAATGTTTTTATTATACTGCATTCCCAAAAAAGATGCATAATAGTTTCTTTCTCATTTGTACAAAAGGTGCATCTTTCAGTTTCAGCTAATTTGCATCTCATTAATTTTGTGTTGGTACATATGATCCTGTGTATGATTTTATACTGAAAGTTAATAAGTTTTGTGTCATCAGTTATGGCCCTTGGAATCGAGTTAAAATATTCCCAAGATTCTTCACTAATATTACTATTGAGATCTTCTTGCCATTTTCTTGATGATTCTTAACATATTGTTTATATCACTGAGATTTCCCTCTCACATGGACTCCTAGTGACCCCCTCCCCCCTCAATCCTCAATTTACTTAAAGATTATCTAAATTAAACTTATGTCAGCTTAAACTCTTCAACGTATTGATACAGATACAGATCTACAGCTTATCCTATATTTATCTAACTGCAAAAAGTAGGCCTAATGCAACAGGTGTTACCAACGACACATCGAACTTGTAAGTTTATGTAACGTTACTTCACTCATTTCTGATGGTAGAGACTCACTAGGAACCCAGAGATGTAGATTGGCAGTGTTGGATTCATGGATTGCCGCCATTTCATTGCTATTGGATGTCTGTTATGTACCTGTCACTTTAGTAAAAGATGCCGTACTGTGCCTCCCCACTATTAGCTACTTTCTGTTTTGTGTGAACCATTTCCGGTTTGAATGAGTTACCTCCCTTACCAGAGAGAAAAAGTTAAAGAATCTTAGCCATTACAATTTAAAATTCCAAAATATTGTGAACCCATCAAATATGAAATGAAGGTATACCTTTATATTTAAAATGACCAGTACATATGTAGTACAGCTCTAATATAATTAAAATCGTATCATTAATAAGAGTATCGTAGAGGAACGGGAATTAGGATCTGATTTTAATTCTTCTTTATTTTATGGGGGCTCCATCAATGTTGATGTTTATGTCCTCGGAGGTCCTATTGCAGAGGCTTGAAAATTACGTGGGTACAGCTCGTATTTTTCTTTATATGGTTTTTCAGAAATATTATAATCCTTGAGGCCCTAAGCTCACTTTTTCTGAGAAAAAAACCCAAGTTGAATCCAACATCAATTATTTTCAACTTAATCTTCTGAAACACTACATGTATATATGTATATATGCAGAATATCGCCAAATTTAACTTGATCATCCTGAGGTCGTAGAAATTTCAAACTATGAAAATTGAGGGAATTAATTGTTGCCCCCTGCCAGGGCTTTAAGATTTGGGCCAAAATGCATGGATACATGGATTTTAGTGACTTAGTTAATACATTCTCTGCAGAAACTTATACTGAGATGGGTAATTAACTATATTTGGTTAAGAGCTATCCTCAGCAGGTGAACAGGATTCAATCAGGGACTGCAAATCTAATTCCTCACAGAGACGTATATATTACATGTAATATGAATGTGTCTGTTCCTCATGGGACTCACTCATGAGCGTGGGCAAAAATTGGTAATCAATGGCCATATTGATTCGAGTGACATCTCCTCTGGAACGTTGACATGCTAGCTAATTTCCAACTCAAGTGATTGTGTGACTCAATGTTGTACAAATGGAGTGGCTGTCACCCCAGGGGAGCTGAAGTGGAAGTGCATGCAGGGCAAAAAAGGAGTGGTTTTGCCATTATTTAATTTATTTCTCTGCATCTCTGCATGAATTTTACAATTGATTGTTGGAAGCCTAGCTCAAGTTCCTTAAAAAGTTAAAATAGAAACACATACTGATTTTTATCAAATTTATTTTTAACACAACCATATATTATACAATAAAGCTTCTGATACACTTTGTAGCATTTGTCATCTAGCTACAACAACCATAAATAAATTTAAAAAGTCTTTGTTTTTCTTCAATCTCACAAAGTCTTTTATAGCTATAGTTGGCCTCCTCAATTTATTTATTTTTAAATCTTTTTTTATCTCCAAATATTTAGTTCACAGTGCAAAGGATGGCAAGTATAACAAGGCTTGACTGTCTACTGACTAAATTTTGGAATTTGGACATTATTAATTATTTACCAACATACATAAAATAGATATGCCTGTCACCAATATTGAATAATATCAGAACTTACACTTGTGTTTTACATAACATGTACCAGGTAATTGCACTTGTATCAATATCAAGGTATTTTATGACTAAGGTATTAATCTTAATTCCTCTGTAATAACTGTTGGATGCCTTCTGCTCTAAACACCTGTAGTTTTCAGGTGTCTCGTACAAAAGTACTTGGTCAATTAAAATAAAATACAGAGTTCCGGGTTAAAATCCTTGTCACTTCTCCTGGTCAACAGTGCCGGGATATGCAATGGCTTACCCAGATTAAAATCAGGAAATCGACCCCTAGACCGACAACTGAGCTGTAGTTAGCAATGCTCGACACAACTCAGATTTGACCAATCATACATCACTTGTATTATGTAAAAAATGTATAAGTTATACAACAGAAAAATAGAAGCATCTTCTTTAAGCAGTGACTGAACAACTGTTTGAGTGTTCATCCATTAAAAAGATATATCTCTGTTTGAAATACTAATTAATGTCTTTGCTTTAAAAAATCTCTATTTCATATCCACAATATCTGTATTTACACAAATAGAGATATCTCTAAATAAAACTGATATGATATTTTCTTACAGATTTCTTTACCTCGGTAATTGAAATTAGGATTTTTCTGACTGAAATACAGGTATCTCTAATTGTAATAGAAAAATCTGTGTTTTCGATCCTATTAACAGAAGTATTTGTAGTTGAGATTGAGATATCTGATGTAATGGGTAAAAAGCAGAATGGCTAGTCATAACTGACTTGTATGATACTCTCCATACTCCCATTTTATTTAAGGCAATGATGAATGATTAATACTTTTGATAAGTGCAGCAAAACATGGTTACTCATACGTATTGTCTCCTATTCAAAGGATACGTCACTGTTTTGACCATGCATATAGTGGAAGTGAGTGAACGGCTAAGGTTGTACTTGTTGGAGTTTCTGGGTTTTTTAGAGACTATAGGAAAGGAGCTAACAAGGACAGCAGAATTGTTTATGAATTGTTTTATTAAGATAGGTAAGTATCTTTCATTTCAACATGCAATATAATAAATGAAAATATATCTTGGCTACCTTTTCTGTATTTTTGCAATTTAAAATAATACAGTTTCTTTCTAAAAAAACAAATTGTTAATCAAGATATGGCACCTTTTCCTAAATTTCTTTACACTTGGACAAAACAGTATAGGAAAATCAAAAGGGTTACAGCCATAAAAAGGACATATAATTTATACAAAAACACCAACAAGAAAGCAATAAGTGAATAAGTGGAAAGAAATCCTATGTTTTTATATGAGACATATAATATGGGTTTCAGAAAAGTTTGCCAGTTAAAATAACCAGGATTTGTAACAACAAAAGTTTTCTGGTTTAAAATCCTCTGGATCATCAGGAGAGTCAGACACAACCTTGTTACATTTGAATGAGAAATTAATTTATCAATGCACATTAAATATTTCTACATGTAAATTGCAAAAAGTAACATCTTGTGATAATAAACTCTGTCCTGGTCAAATCTTTAGTTTTAGCCACAAGGCAATGAATCATCTGTCTCTAATAATAATGAAAAGAAAAAATGCTTACTTTAAGGGTTTACTGTTAGAGCATAAAAATATTATCAGAAATTTAGTGACTTGTCACAGTTGAGTATAGCTTCAAAAATAGGTCAAAGGATTGAAAATGATTGAAGTCCCTGAGGTATTAATACGGAATTAATTAATGTATCACCATACATCAGACGTACAAAATGACAAGTTTATGTCACAGAATATATATATATATTGTGTAGTATAATGATGACACAATTAATGAAACTTGTAATACCTGTTTCATTCATTGTTAGATGCGAGGACAATTCATGTGAGATGTGAGGACATGTTTACCTTTAGACTAGTATGTTCTACTTTAATTAATTAAAGTACATAGAAAAGAGATTCAAACATGTAGTATTCAACTTATCTGTTCCACTTCATAAAACTAAAAATTCCTGAATGATGATTTTATTATAAAACATATTATATATATATACGTCTGACAGAACACAATTTCATTCTTGGTGAAGTTTTGTTTGTGATCTTAGGATGATAAGTGTAACAGCTATGCCAGCCATTACTGATCCCATGAGAGGCGGACCTGATGAGCTGATCTCCAAGGCCATACCAGACAGGAGAGGGGACAGCATGCGTGCCACAGACATTACAGTGTCTCCAAGGCCCATCACCGCCCCTACTCCCTCGGCTCCGCCCCGCTGGACCAGCAGACTGGCACTAGCCACCCGAAGATTTGTTGTCACAAAGCTCAGCAATGCCAATACAAGTATATACATCCAGAAGTCAACAACCAAGGTGAGTGCCACTAACGCCACAAACAGTCCACACACCATGTGCTGATAGAGTCTGTAGTTGTTTTGGTACTTAGCAGCTATCCAACCTGACACAAAACCACACAGGGCCGATACTACGGCTGTATAGGACGTCAGATAGCTCATGTGTTGTTTTGTTGTTCCGAACCTGTCCATGAAAATCATGTCTGAGTTACTGCGGAACAGCATTACAGAAAATCCGGAAAAGAAATTTACAAGGAAAATATCCCAAAGTTTTGTCCAGTTGAGATGTTTAAAAGACGCAATTATATTCGTCACACCGTTATACTGTGATGGCTTCTTCTTGGTAGGAGCAGTGGTCGGTAAAATGAACCACATCAGAACTGAAATAAAACCAAACTCAAATCAGCAGATTTATAACTGGATTCTATCCTTTACACTTTAAACCAAAACCACACAATTGCAACACCACTAACCAATAGATGTTTCTAACTCTGCCTTTTTCAATTTGTTGACATGAATAAATCAACCATTTAAAAAAAAAACATGTATTTGGGAAATATTCAAAATAACACTGGTAACTGCATGAATGAAGATGTATTTTTTTTCTAAATATACAAAACAAAATTTAAACAAAGAAAATCTGACAGATTTTTATGAATTCCTGTTTGATGGAAATCCTCAAAGGTCATAAGCACATTCAAGATTGAAACGGCCTATAAGATTTGAGAGAATTCATTATAAATTGAAACAAAATGGCAAAAGGAAAAAGTTGAAAACAGGAAAATTGCCCCCAAGTTTGGTTTAGCTTACCTAGTTTACTGTGTAGCCTTTGAAATCAAATCAGAAGTTAGACTTTGATAATGAAATTAGCTGAAGCTCGTTTCATAAATGTCACATATAATCAAAACTTGTTTGGGATTATATAGTGACAGTGACCTTGACCTTTGACAAGTTGACAGTGTTTTTCATTAACGACCCATGTACAATGTTTGATTCCTATATAGTGCCAATTAACTCATTCACCTCACATCTTTGAACTGGACTTACCCAGTCTTTGATTGGTAAGGTCCAAATATAACTTTAGGGGTGAATAGGTTAATAGAAATGAATTTAAGGTAGACATTGGACAGATTTTACAAGAATTTGATTTGAAAACATACAGAATGGGAAGCCATAACAATCTTTATTTTTATGATCTGATAACTGTTAATGATACACCCTTATTCAGTGAGTTCACTTACATGGAAAGAAGGCCTGAGCAAGGACAGTAAAATAATAATGAACATACCAGCATTCAGTATAAATATGGAACCACACAAACAGCTGACTATGTAGAATCCTCCCTCATACTGTATGATGGTGCTACTGACCAGTGGCCCGAGGATAAAGCCAACACTGGACAATGAGTTAAACCTCCCATACACTCGGCAGCGCTGGTCCGCAGAGGTGATGTCTGACAGCATCGACCGTGATATACTCTGACTTTGTTTAAACATACCTACAGGAAACACAGAACCTGAGTATTACACAATGGATGTGTGGTCTTTCTGTAAAACATATCTACAATATAAACAACTATTGTACAACTATAATGTACAACTATTGTACAACTATAATGTACAACTATCGTACATACGCTTACAGCCTAGCCGAATCGACATCGATTTGTGGACAGCTCATACACATTTTACACATTTGTGTGCATACGCTTCACTTGTCATTTGTCTGATGAAGTTAACAGAGTACATACCGTAAAGGTCATCGAAATGCACATAGAAACACTTATTGGTTGTTTAACACACACAAAAAAATCCATACTCACCGACCTGAAGAAAGTGTTAAGAAATATCTACAATATCACAGAACTAAAGGTATACCACAAATGTGTGGTCTTTCTGGGATCCCGCAATGGACATTAACTAATGTTTTACCATTCTTCTATGTACTGAAAACTTCTTAATGATCTGAAATCATGTTGAACAATGTATCTTTACCCCCTGGCAAAATTTGTCTCATAAATATCAAACAAATATAAACAAAAAAATTCTGTGATCAAATATGGTTTGTTAGAAGCATGGTTCACTGTATGTTCACTAAACAGCGAAGGATGAGATCCCAAATATCTCCATCCTACAGACAGAATGTTAGAACTTTCAAAGACAAACCTGTGATGCTTCGTGAGAACATGAGTATCGTCAGTGTGTAGGAGAAGCCCATTGTCAGGTAGCCTACCGCGGACATGAGAAGACACGGTACAAGGCAGAACTTCCGACCTGTCACATCACTCCAACGGCCCTACATATACACAAAAAGTTACCCTACATATACACAAAATGTTACCCTACATATACACAAAATGTTACCCTACATATACACAAACTGTTACCCTACATATACACAAAATGTTACCCTACATATACACAAAATGTTACCCTACATATACACAAACTGTTACCCTACATATACACAAAATGTTACCCTACATATACACAAAATGTTACCCTACATATACACAAAATGTTACCCTACATATACACAAAATGTTACCCTACATATACACAAAATGTTACCCTACATATACACAAAATGTTACCCTACATATACACAAAATGTTACCCTACATATACACAAAATGTTACCCTACATATACACAAAATGTTACCCTACATATACACAAAATGTTACCCTACATATACACAAAATGTTACCCTACATATACACAAAATGTTACCCTACATATACACAAAATGTTACCCTACATATACACAAAATGTTACCCTACATATACACAAAATGTTACCCTACATATACACAAAATGTTACCCTACATATACACAAAATGTTACCCTACATATACACAAAATGTTACCCTACATATACACAAAATGTTACCCTACATATACACAAAATGTTACCCTACATATACACAAAATGTTACCCTACATATACACAAAATGTTACCCTACATATACACAAAATGTTACCCTACATATACACAAAATGTTACCCTACATATACACAAAATGTTACCCTACATATACACAAAATGTTACCCTACATATACACAAACTGTTACCCTACATATACACAAAATGTTACCCTACATATTGTACACAAAATGTTACCCTACATATTGTACACAAAATGTTACAATCAAACAAGAGTATATAAGAGTATCCTAGGTTTTAATAAGATAATATTACTAATAGTAACTTAAACTGTTGTAAAAAGATAACAGATTTGTTTAGAATCTACAGATTTGTTTAGAATCTACAGTAATGTTATTTTTCCAACCGTTATTTCTATATGTCTACTTTCTTTCCCAATAAATATATACCCTTAAACTGATCTGTATGTATATAGTAATTAAATTTTTTATTATTTATGAAATGTTACAGATTCTAAATATACATTTTGTAATGCCAGTTTTACTACATGGAGCATATTACTTCACTAAACAAAACAAGTATATACCATAATAGGACTTGAGAAAAGCTGTAGAGCACCATACACCGACCCTGTTTGGGAAAAAATGATAAATTTAATTAAAAGATGAGGGTACAAGAATCCTACTTAATATCCTTTCCCTCCCAAATACATGTAATCAATATCATTCTACTACTTCATACATAAATAGTCTCAGCTAGTGTGGTTGCGATTTCTGTCCGTTTTAGATATGTGCCAGGTATCTGCAGCCATTTACATACAGCACAGGGATCCTAACAGTGTACAGGCTAATATTGTTTCTACAATACAGAAGCTGATTGGAAGGCTCATGATTCTAGCAAATTTGACCCTTCTCTCAAGTCGAGACAATTTATAAGAAAGAGGAGCACAAAATAAAATGTATGCAGTAATCCATATTGTAAATTAGATCTAGCGTTAATACTTGATAGAAGTTATCACCTGTGTGGGTTAAAAGGAGAAATCTCAAACCGAGTGATAAGTTTTTGTTTGTCCAGAACAAGGCTAATAATTTGCTGAAATCTAGATATTCAAAATCTCATCCTGTAGGTTGAGGTTTCTGATTTAAACTGAAATACAGCTATCCCATTGCATTTCAGTTAAGTATGGCATTACTGCATTGTTGTTTTATTGAGTGTGTGTCAGTGTTAGTACCAATAAAGCCAGCTGCTGTTGAGGAAGCACCCAGCTCACGGGCATGGGTTCCAATCTGTGGCACTAGCATGCTGACACCAAACAGGTCCTACAACAAACAAACTCAACTTAGTTTAAAAAGTATTCTTACAAATAATTCAAAGTGATGGAAAAACAAGCATTCAAACTTTAAAGCTTAAGGTTCAACAGGCCAACTAAAAGATAGTACAGACACAGAAAATGTCAACCCCCAGATAAGTCATATTGAAAGGATAATTATATATTAATTGTGATCTCCATAGATATGTTGCTGCAATTAACTGTACCTTTTTACCAAATAACATTGAATTGAACTGAATCACAGGCATGCACAATGTGTCATCATGCAGGCAGTTCATACTTCATACAAAAAGTGTAAACTGCAACCCAATGATTTGATTACGTGTCAGAAAGAGATTTCTTTACTAATACGATTGTCTGTCGACCCACAGGGGCTTGCATAGACTTATATGATAAAATTAGCTTGAAATACCTATATATAAGGTCTTTATATATTGGTATTTCAAGCTAATTTTATCATATAAGTCTATACAAGCCCCTGTGGTCGACCGCTAAAGACAATCGTACAAAAGACAGACATGTTATAAAGCTGTTGAGCATTATATGAAGACATCAGCCTTAATGCCTTTTACAGACTAAGTTGCGTCGTTAAAATATACAATTTTCTTCTGCATATCTAATTGCATGTATGTTTCATGGTTTGATTGGGTTCTTTAAATATGACTTATCAAGTGGGGGGGGGGGGGGGGGGGGGGGGGGGGGGGGGGGGGGGGCAAAGTGAAGCTTAATTATGGATCAGTCCCAGTGTATATTCAGATCTGGATAATGTTTGTTGTACATTGTAACACATAAATAATTACACAAAGAATTGATGTTATGGTATGCGATACAGACCAGGAAACCTGACATGTACAACGTTGTAGTTGCGTCCATGATCTTCTGACATGTCTACTTTCGTTTTGACCCCTTCTTCCGGTATTTTAATTGTTTTATTGCGAGTTATCTACCTTTAACTAGTACACAAGATTGGTGCGATATATATATATATGGGTCAAAGAAGTAATATATAGACGGTATTAGCCGAGGGGACTATTGGTTTTATATAATAGCTATATTGGTTTTATATAATAGCTATATTTTCAATTATAGTATATCAATTCTATCTTCTTGTAATATGATGTATATGTACATGACGTAACTGTTCTGTCTCACAGTGTCTTGAAAAAGGAGCGGATCGCTCCGAAAATTTGACAACCTAAACTTGTCCACACTGTTGGAATTACTTCTTTGCCCCATATATATATATATATATATATGGACGAAGAGTTTCTATCTATTTTGCGAAGAGACAGCAACAATGCATGGAAACTGCATCTTATTCCAAAAAATAAAAATGGTTAAACCCTGTCGGAATGAGTGAAAATGAGCGAATAGAAAAAAAGCTATGGACTTCATATCTCTTCTTTTTCATACAGGTAAATGTATCTATTTATCAGTAAAAAAAATCTGAATCAAGACAGGGGACGAATATTGACCAAATATGAAAATGGTTTCAATATTTAAAGGAAAATGATCTATTATGACCCATTTATCCAATATATCGGGATATCAAATTATGTTATAACGTGGACCATTGTTACAATATATTGGGATATCAGAATCTGGTATAACGTGGGCCTTTGTTACAATAAATTGGGACAATATTATTAGTTATATATAGAGAATAATACATGCCTTTTTCCATATCACACCCAGTATCAACCCGAGACTGCAATATCAGCCCAAGGGCCGAAAGCCCGAGGGCTGATATTAGTCGAGGATTGATACTGGGTGTGATATGGAAAAAGTGATATTTTATTCTGTTTATTACATACTTACTAATAAAAGCTACTATCTTATGATAATTTTTTCTTTTGAAATATTGAAAAACGAAAAAAAAATCCAAAAGGGGTGTTGAAAAAGTCCTGATTTATTCTGTTTATTACATACTTACTAATAAAAGCTACTGTCTTACGATAATTTTTTTCTTTTGAAATATTGAAAAACGAAAAAAAATCCAAAAGGGGTGTGATACTGGTTTGCGGGCTGATACGGGTTTTGCGGGATATCGGGATACGGCGAGGGCTGATATGGGTAAGAGCAATTATGTCGTATCGCATATACAAAAAACCCGTATTTATTAGTAAGTATGTAATAAAGTCAGTAACTGACCCTCTACAGAACCGTAGAGGGATATCAGAATCTGTTATAACGTGGGTCATTGTTACACTATATCGGGATATCATATTCTGTTATAATGTGGACCATTGTAAAAATCTATCGGGATATCATAATCTACTAGTATAACGTGGAAAATTGTTACACTATATCGGGATATCATAATCTGTTATAATGTGGACCATTGTTAAAACCTATCGGGATATCATAATCTACTAGTATAACGTGGAAAATTGTTACAATATATCGGGATATCATAATCTGGTTACATAATCCATTGTTACATGTAATAAAGTCAGTAACTGACACTCTACAGAACCGTAGAGGGATATCAGAATCTGTTATAATGTGGTCCATTGTTACAATATATCGGGATATCAAAATCTATTATAACGTGGGCCATTGTTACAATATATAGGGATATCAGAATCTGTTATAATGTGGACCATTGTTACAATATATCGGGATATTAGAATCTGGTATATCCTGGACCAATGCTACAATATATCCGGATATCAGAATCTGGTATAACCTGTGCCATTGTTATAATATATAGGGATATCAGAAACTGTTATAATGTGGACCATTGTTACAATATATCGGGATATTAGAATCTGGTATATCCTGGACCAATGCTACAATATATCGGGATATCATAATCTGGTTACATAATCCATTGTTACAATATATCGGAATATCAAATTATGTTATAACGTGGACCATTGTTACAATATATTGGGATATCATAATCTGGTATGACGTGGACCATTGTTACAATATATCGGTATATCGTAATCTGGTATAACGTGGGCCATTGTTACAATATATCGGGATATCAAATTATGTTATAACCTAGACCAATGCTACAATATATCGCGATATCATAATCTGGTTACATAATCCATTGTAACAATATATCGGAATATAAAATTATGTTATAACGTGGACCATTGTTACAATATATTGGGATATCATAATCTGGTATGACGTGGACCATTGTTACAATATATCGGTATATCGTAATCTGGTATAACGTGGGCCATTGTTACAATATATCGGGATATCAAATTATGTTATAACCTAGACCAATGCTAAAATAAATCGGGACATCATAATCTTGTATAACGTGAACCACTGTTACAATATATCGGGATATCAGAATCTGGTATAACGTGGACCAATGTTAAAATATATCGGGATTTCAGAAACTGTTATATGATACACTATATCGGGATATCAGAATCTGGTATAACCTGGACCATTGTTACAATATATCGGGATATCAGAATCTGTTATAAAATAGACCAATTTGTTTGTTTGTGTTTTACGTCCTATTAACAGCTATGGTCATTTAAGGACGTGCCAGGTTTTGGCGGTGGAGGAAAGCCGGAGTTCCCGGGGAAAAACCACCGACCGACGGCCAGTACCTGGCGACTGCCCCACGTAGGTCTCGAACCCGCGACCAAGCGGTGGAGGGCTAGTGGTAGAAGAATGTTAGACGCCTTAACCACTTGGCCACCGCGGCCCCAAAATAGACCAATGTTACACTATAACGGGATATCGGAATCTGGTATAGCCTGGACCATTGTTCCAATATATCGGAATATCATGATCTGGTATAACATGGACCAATGCTACAATATAACGGGATATCATAATCTGGCATAACATGAACCATTGTTACAATATATCGGGATATCATGATATGGGATAACCTGGACCAATGCTACAATATATCAGGATATCATAATCTTGTATAACGTGAACCATTGTTACAATATATCAGGACATTAGAATCTGGTATAACGTGGACGATTGTTACAATATATCGGGATATCATGATATGGTATAACCTGGACCAATGCTACAATATATCGGGATATCATAATCTTGTATAACGTGAACCATTGTTACAATATATCGGGATATCATAATCTGTTATAACGTGGACAATTGTTACAATATAAAGAGATATCAGAATCAGTTATAATGTGGACCATTGTTACAATATATCGTAATATCAGAATCTGTTATAACCTAAACCAATGTTACACTATATCGGGATATCATAATCTGTTATAACGTGGACCATTGTAACAATATATCGGGATATCAGAATCTGTTATAACATAGACCATTGTTACAATATATCGGGATATCATAATCTGTTATAACGTGGACAATTGTTACAATATAAAGAGATATCAGAATCAGTTATAATGTGGACCATTGTTACAATATATCGTAATATCAGAATCTGTTATAACCTAGTCCAATGTTACACTATATCGGGATATCAGAATCTGTTATAACGTGGACCATTGTTACAATATATCGGGATATCAGAATCAGTTATATATGACACTATATCGGGATTTCAGAATCTCTTATAACATAGACCATTGCTACAATATATCGGGATATCATAATCTTTTATAATGTGGGCCATTGTTACAACATATCGGGATATTAGAATCTGTTAAAATGTGGGCCATTGTTACAATGTATCGGGATATCAGAATATGGTATAACGTGGGCCATTGTTAAAATATATCGGGATATCAAAATCTATTATAACGTGGGCCATTGTTACAATATATAGGGATATCGGAATATGATATGATGTGGACCATTGTTACAATATATCGTAATATCAGAATCTGTTATAACCTAGACCAATGTTACACTATATCGGGATATCAGAATCTGGTATAACGTGGACCATTGTTACAATATATCGGGATATCAGAATCAGTTATATATGACACTATATCGGGATTTCAGAATCTCTTATAACATAGACCATTGCTACAATATATCGGGATATCATAATCTTTTATAATGTGGGCCATTGTTACAACATATCGGGATATTAGAATCTGTTAAAATGTGGGCCATTGTTACAATGTATCGGGATATCAGAATATGGTATAACGTGGGCCATTGTTAAAATATATCGGGATATCAAAATCTATTATAACGTGGGCCATTGTTACAATATATAGGGATATCGGAATATGTTATGATGTGGACCATTGTTACAATATATCGTAATATCAGAATCTGTTATAACCTAGACCAATGTTACACTATATCGGGATATCAGAATCTGGTATAACGTGGACCATTGTTACAATATATCGGGATATCAGAATCAGTTATATATGACACTATATCGGGATTTCAGAATCTCTTATAACATAGACCATTGCTACAATATATCGGGATATCATAATCTTTTATAATGTGGGCCATTGTTACAACATATCGGGATATTAGAATCTGTTAAAATGTGGGCCATTGTTACAATGTATCGGGATATCAGAATATGGTATAACGTGGGCCATTGTTAAAATATATCGGGATATCAAAATCTATTATAACGTGGGCCATTGTTACAATATATAGGGATATCGGAATATGTTATGATGTGGACCATTGTTACAATATATCGTAATATCAGAATCTGTTATAACCTAGACCAATGTTACACTATATCGGGATATCAGAATCTGGTATAACGTGGACCATTGTTACAATATATCGGGATATCAGAATCAGTTATATATGACACTATATCGGGATTTCAGAATCTCTTATAACATAGACCATTGCTACAATATATCGGGATATCATAATCTTTTATAATGTGGGCCATTGTTACAACATATCGGGATATTAGAATCTGTTAAAATGTGGGCCATTGTTACAATGTATCGGGATATCAGAATATGGTATAACGTGGGCCATTGTTAAAATATATCG